AAATTCACCTAGACTAAAGCCAGTCTAAATTTGAGTATATGTTGGTTATTAAACAAATAATTTTTTTATTAAATATTTGAAAAGTAGGGGCTGGAGAGATGGTTAAAACATGAGCTACTCTTCCTGAGGACAGGAATTTGAATCTCAACACACACATTGCAGCTCACAACTGTTGGTAATTCCAGTCTCTGGAATCTGATACCTCTTTCTGAACTCTTTGGGTACCAGGAATACATCACTGCCAAGAGGTGACATTGTCCTTTGTGGAATGGCTCTACAGAAGGCCTCTGTCTTTCAGTTTCTTATGGTCCCCACATATTTCCTGATCTCTCAGGGATTCTATTTTGGCCAGCAATCTTTTCTCTGTGGAGAGTGTTCAATTTTTTTTTTTTCTCTTCTTAGCTGCTTCAGATTCTTTAATGGGCCACTGAAAAATGGCCTCTGGCCTAAAGTGGTTTGTGATTATATCTATTTATGCACTGTTCCACCCTTGTTAGCTCACAGAGGTGCTCACTTATTTCTTCTAAATTATTCAGTATTGACTTATAAAAATTTTTATGTCCTTGCACAATCACAAGACAGAATTACCATGCTGTTATTCATGCAACAGAACATACTCAGTCCTCAACAAAAGGTCTAAGGGTGATATTATGGAGAACACCTAGCTGTCTTACAGATATCACTTTGTGCTTCTCTGGGCATGTCCTGAGTTTCTGACAGAACAAGAGCCAGATGACCTTCCTCTTCACCTTGCTCCCTAGTCTGCACTAGCCCTGTAAGAAAACCAAAGAGCCTTGGTTCTGAGCACCCGAGAATGGAACTTGGAACTGTGATCTGCCACCAGATTTGGCGGTAAAAACCTTTCTTGACTGTCAAGCTCCTTCAAAACAGCCCTGTGGCATGCTTTGGATTCTTTGCCATTTCCCGTAAGGCATAATATGTCAGGAGGCAGCCAAGTGACTCTCCCATCCATGAATGTAGCCTCTGAGAGGTATGGAGGTATGAATTTTATACTGAGAATGAGTGACATGATGCCAGAATGAAAGCTAGGTAGTCTCACCCAGAGGGACACAGGAAACTGTAGAGAATGAGGTAAGGTTCGAGGTTAGGAGTTATCCCCTTGGGTAGAAGTTCTCCATGTGCTTCTCTAGTCAGCTCTTATATATGTGTGTCGGAGATAATAAAATGTCTTGCTAATCCACAACCTCTTTACATAATAAAAGCAGAAAAATCCCATCCTTTTCCTACTAGAAACACTAAATCAGAAAATAATATGAATCAAAAGGTTTTCATTAAGGTTGGGATTAGGACTTTACTCGGTGCTGTAGCACATGCATAACAAGAGTAAGGGCCTGATTCGGTCCCTAAACACTAACAAGAGAGACAGCACACAGACACACAGAAACACAGACAGACACAAGGTCACTACATAAGAATGAAGGAGAAGAAAGAATGCTGGTCTATTTCGCAAGGAAATGTTTTCTTATATTTATGTAGAAAAAACTCAGCAGTGTACAATAGCCTGCACTTGTCATGAGCCTTTGCTTTTTCTAGCTTGGCAATTTGAACTAAATTTTGGACTCTGGACATTGCCTCTCAGGAACCATATTTCTCCTCATTTCTGGCACTGTAGTTGGCCCCGACAGCATCCAGCAGCTTAGCCAGAGCTCCTTCATCTTCTTCATCAGCAGTGTCCTGGGGACCAGCCATCCTGGCCTGCCTTTCCTTTTGACGATGCTGTGAGGGCTCTTTCTTTGAAACATATGGAAGGCAGGAAATCTGTCTTGATGGAGTCTGTCATGTGTGATCATCACTAACTGTACCTTCTTCTCCACTAACAGTGAGAGTATTGACCCCTGCTTGAGGGACAGGCAGCAATTAGTGACAATGTACCAGGCCCACAGAGAAACCTTCCCAAGATAAACTGTAACTTAGTATGAAGTAAGGTGAAGATAATTTTCTAAAACATAACTTATCCTAAAGCCACCTGGTAATATGGCTTCCTGTTTAAATTCACTGCCTCCACCAATAACATAGTCAATAATTTAGTTGTTTTAGAACAGGGTTAGTCTTTTACATGAGTTCCATTGGGCTTGTGGTCCGAGCTGCTGTTTAATGGACAAAGAAGGAAAATATCTCTCTGGAAGACCTTGAACCATCAAGCTACCTTCAGCAAGGAGAACTCTCTCCTGATTGAGACTTGCTAGAAAGCAGAATCTCTACACATAGATGTTTATTGTCATCCCACAGAACAGGTGAAGGGAAAGAGCAGGACATTGCTTTTTCTGTGCCTACAATGCGGGTCCTCTTCTGATTCACAGCTTTGGGATTCAGTAAAGGCGAAGAGAGGACTGGAGACAGGCAACTGGATGCACAGAACCTGGCTGCTGTGCACACCCTAACTGCACATCCTTCTGTTAACTAATTAAACTCAAGACTGTGGCTCCAAGGACCATTTCTACAGTTTGTTACCTAAGTCATTAAATTCTAATTAAGTCTGAAACAGCTTCCAGAACAAACCTATGTAGTAATTGTGGAGGGATAGAGAGTTGTACCTCAAGGATTAAGATTCCACAGATGGCTTTTTTCTCCCTCACACACTGAGAATTGTTAAAACTGAAGCCCAGTGACAGATAATTGAAAACAAGAAGTCTACAAACCCAGAAGGTTCAAATACAACCCTGAAGGCTCACCTGGCCAGGGACTAACCCAGAGCTTCTCTTCACTGCAGCTGCTGCCCTGAGCACACCTGACCCCTCTTCCATGTTCCTCCGTGGGCCTATGAAATTTCCCTCAGAAGCACCTTTGCTGCTGTTTGCTTGTGAGGCTTAGGGCTTGCTGAGCCTGATCTCCAAAGGTATGTTCCACAAGCTGGAGTGATGTCTAAGCACCAGGCTTCTGTGCTCAGGAGCCAGTGCCTTTGGGGAGCTTAGGAGGGTCTTTGCATGTGTTCCCTCCTTCCTTCTGGGGGAGAATAAGAACGATGAAAGAACTTTTCTAGGGGGAAACAAACCCAAAACCTCTCTTATGTAAGCCTCTGCTTTCATCTGAACCATCACTGACACCATTATCACTTTTCACAAAATCTTCACTGCATATTTTTCTCTTACATGTGGACAAACTTTGTCTTTACCCATGATGTTTTTAATTCCTCAAATACCTCTGTTTGTCAGGCTGAGTGTCTGTTTGTCTGTCTCTCTACCTCCCTGTTTATGCTCTGTTTTTTTTTCCTCCTCTACATGTGTTTAGTTTTTTTTTCACTCATTCTCAGATGATTCCTAATCATATATAAAACACATCAATCTCAGTCAACTTAATTATATACAAGATTGATAGAGAAAACTTTTCACAATTTGATTTGAAAATTATAGGGTTTTTTTGGTGTGGCAGGTTATAAATTAATATAATCCCTTGAAAATCAGGTTGTTTTATGATGCATCAAGCACTGTTGTCATTTTTAGTTGTAAAAACTTTGTCTGAAATGGGAGCAGTTGCCTGCCTGAGTTGTTATATAGCTCAATGTTAAACCTACTCTTTTAAGGCATTTCTAATAATGATTCAAAAGCTATTTAGTAAGGTAACTTCCTTTATCCCCTGCTACTGTGCAAAGCTTTCAGTCAAGAACTAATGGAAGTATTATAACAGGTGTTTCAAAGCTTACCCTGATTCTGTTTTGGGGCTCCAGGAAGATGGGGAAACCCTAGACCCAAATAAAAAACAAACAAACAAAGAAACAAACAAAAAATACCTTAAAAGTGTTTGTTAATGATATGAGGGTATTGGGGAATATTGAACATTCATTCTTTTAAAACAGATTCGCGAATTCCGACTAAACATTTAATCAACTCTTATTTAAACATATTAGTTACAGTTGTACTTACTGATATGCCTGGTGCTTTATTGCACCGTGGGCTGTGAATTTCAGATCACGGCATGCTTTGTTCAGTGCATAGGCACCGATTGTTATCCCTCAGTTTGCAGTCAAGGCAACTGAGGCTGAAAGGCAGTACCTGATGTTCCTACTCAAAGGGCCTCATCATTCCAGACCTGGTCACACACCAATGTCCAGACATATTTCTCTGCCAATGATTTCGAGGATTAAAAGAAGCAAAGCCAGGCATAGTGGCACACACCTGTAACCCACATACTTCTCCAGAAGTAAAAGCTGGAGGACCAGGGCTTCAAAGCACTCTCAATTGCAAAGAGTGTTTGAGGTCAGCCTCCCTAACAGGAGACCCTGGTGCAAAACAAACCTAAAAGAAACAAACAAGAAAGAGCAAAGTTAAAGTTAGCACACCCCTGATGACTGATAGGAAGGGGGGAAGGGGGGGTGTAAAGCTTTCCAAGCACATTCAGCCTGGGCCAGCCCTGCTGTCCTGGTTCTGGGGAGTTGTGTGTACAAGTTATTCTTCACTGTCAACCTGAGTGGGTTCAGAGTCATGGAGGAGACAGACCTCTGGGTGTTTCAGTGAGAGTTTCCAGTGGGTTTTAACTGAGGTGGAAGGACCTGCCCTGAGTAGCAGGATCCTGTGGGCTTGGTCCAGGATCCTAGGAAAATGTGGCTGAGCATTAGCATTGTGTCTGCTTCCTGTCTGCTGAGGAATGGGACCAACTGTCCCACTCTCCTGCTACCGTGCTCCCTGCCCAGCTGGACTAGCTTCAAGCTGTGAGCCAGAACAAGCCCTTTCTCCCTCCAACTGCTTCTTGTCAGAGGCTTACTGCAACAATGAAAAGAAGTTATATATGGACTGCAGTTTGACATATGTCCTACAGGTGAGAACTGAGAATGGAGAGGGTAGATGTGAAAGTGTAAATCCTTTCCAGGCCTAAAAGTGTGAAAACTGATCACCCAAAGGTAGAACTCTGGAAGCTGAAGGCTAGAGAAAGGCTATGGCTGTAACTAGAGAAATGGCAGCAATTGCCCAAAGATAGTCTTAGCAAAGTAAGACCTAATGTCCTTCAGCACAGCACACAACAGCCATTCATGGTAATAGGACACGATGGGTGAAGAGCTTGAAGAAGGAGCCCAGAGCCTTATAAGAAGGTAAAATGGTAACGACAGTGGTCCCCCAGATGTCCAGCCTCACCAAGACCAAGTAGCTGTAACTACTCTTATTTAATCAGTAAACAAGGTACATGTGTTAACATATCACACTACATTCCACAAATGTGTTATCATTGCACATTAATTAAAAATTTGGAAGCATTATTACTATTGAACAAAAAAGATAAGAAAGAAAATCTACTCAGCCTGGTAGAAATTGAAGCAACCCTATTGTTTTTACAGGCTGAGAGAAGAGACATGAATTAATATAGCTGCCCTGACAATGGAGACTATGGTTGCATGGCAGCTGCAGTAGCATAACAACTGGGATGAGGGTGAACATCTCACTTAGCCTTGAAGCCCCAATGCACTAGTTAGCATTTCTAGAGATTCCTAACTCACAGACTGCATTCACCCCATACCACCACACATCAGAAAGTCTTCTCTTCTCTACTTGATCAATAGCAGCTTAGCCGGATCTCGTCCAGGTTCCCTCAGAGGGAAAGCAGCCCTCTCCTGAACCTTTCTATACAATGTCCCTGGGCTGCTCTAGGCTGCATCCAGTCAATGTGCTGCTTTTCCAGACCACAGGCTCACTCCTGGAGTCTTTGGTTCAGCATTATCAGCTGTACTAATAGTGAAGTGCTTTTTGGTTGGTTTGGTGTTAAGGTATAAGATAACCCTTGGGAAATTTTTAAGCAATGAAATTTACAGAACAATTTGGATTTTAAAAGAACACCTCTGGAGTATAAAGATAAATGAATCAAAGGATAGTATAGGAACTAGAGACAGGACATAAAGTGGGTCTTTGTTGTGTTCATTATAAAAGAAAAATCACACAGTAACAAAACAAAAGGCATTGCAGAAGAAGAAAGGTTTCTTGATCTGAAAGATGCTAATGTTGATGCAGGAAGACAGGGTTGTTTTATTTGTATTCATTTTGTTTTCTTTTGGGGGTGTTCTAGAGTTTTCTTGGGGTGGGGTTTACACAGGGTCTTGTTAAATGACCATGGCTGACTTGAAACTCATTATGTATCTCAGGCTGGTAGTGAATTTACAGTCATCCTCCTGCCTCACCCTTATTTAAGTGCTGGGATGACAGATATGTACCACCATTCTTGACACAATTTCTTAAAATAATTGTCTGTATACTAGGTGTGCAAGTTGGGGAAAGATGAAAGAAGATGCAGGTTTGAGAAATTGACTGACTGGAATGTTGACAAAATCAAATAAAAATGCTTGGAGACATTCAAGTCAGTAAGTTTCTCAATTTATCTCAACACATGCTGAGATTCAAAATACATGATACACACACACACACACACACACACATATATATATATCCATATATACATTTGAACATGTAATCTAATTTTACTCATATGGAAGTCAAGGGAATAAATCTGTTTGGTAATTTCAATTTTTTTTAAAAATTTTCTTTCACAGTTACCAGTTAAGATACAAGATGTCCCATAGAGACAAGAAGAAAATCAGAATTCTTTAGATTAAAAAAGAATATGTATTCCTTTCCACGTGTCAAGGCTGTCTTTTGTATACCAGAAACACACTAAGATGTAAAATCTTTTTTACAGGTATGTTTCAGACTGTACTGTTCAGAGGCAAGGGGCAGCTCAAAAATGCACATGTATGATTACAGAGATGGTGCAATGTTGAAAGGCGGACTTTTGCAACCAATAAACTCTTGGCCCTTGCCACATACTGTATCAACTAAATCTAGGGTTCCTTCCATATAAAATGCGAATTGACATCTACCTTTCAGGTAGATACTGGCGAGCTGAAACATCCACCATAGAACTTGTATATTGTAATGACTGTTTAATACAGCTACGCCAATTAATTGCCTGTTGAGGCTTCACTAGAAACAGAAGACTAGGGGAGAGACCAATCCAGGTCAACTTCCACAGGCCCATGGACGACGTTGACACCTCAGTTAGAAAACCGGGCAACTTCAGGGCATCTGGGCGGGGACAGCGGAGGGGCTGGAAAGGCTTGTAAAGCAGCAGCGCATACCGCCCTGCCAAGCCTGGGCCTCACAGTCGCGGCCAGGTCTCCAGGACAAACCGAAGGGAGGCCGCAGGTGGAGAACAGAGCACCCAAGTTCCCTCACCTTCACCACAGCCTTCCCCTGGCTGCCCTGCTGCCCACTATCTACTCCGGCTCCGGGCTTGTTTACAGCAAAGGCAGCCATCCTGGGAGGAGCAGCGCCACAGCAGAACCTTTAATTGAGAAGAGGGGTTGAGCAGCCTTTACAGGTATATTTCAATTCTGTTGCTTTCCTCAAACTCTACTTGAAAGATACCGAATTTTCTGCCCAAGAAGACAGAAATGGTTTTGAATATTAGCAATATAACAATATTCCTTCTTCTAACTGGACTCAGCACTGTGGCAAATCTTTCTGTTTTTGTGAGGTATGTATGCACTTTTGTGGGCTCTGGGAAGAAAGCTGTACACCTTATCCTCATCCACTTGGCTTTGACAAATATTATTATGCTTTTTTCTAAAGGAATGCCAATGACAATGACAGCTTTAGGTCTGAGGCACTTCCTTGGTGATCTGGGCTGTCACATTACTGTTTATCTAGGCAGGGTTTCCCGGGGCCTCTCCATCTGCACCAGCAGTCTCCTCACAGTGGTCCAGACCATCATCATGAGCCCCAGAGCCTCCTGTTGGGGGAGGCTCAGACTCAGGTCTACAGGACATGTGCTTCTCTCACTGATCTTCTTTTGGATTTTCAATTCTGTGATCAGCATGAACCTTCTCCTTTCCTACAGAGACAAAGGTACAAACACATTGCCACTGCTTAAGAATAGCGAATATTGTTATTTCAAAAGAGAAAATCAGAAAATAAACAATGTTTTTCTCACCCTTATGGTCCTGAGAGATGCAGTGTTGCAGGGTGCCATGGGAGGGACCAGTGGCTACATGGTATTTCTTCTCCACAAGCACCACCTGCATGTCCTCTACCTTCAGAACTCCAAGCTTCTCTACAGAACTCCCCCTGAGCTGAGAGCTGCTCAAAGTGTCCTCCTTCTCATGCTCTGTTTTCTTTTCTTTTATTGGACTGATTGTGTTGTTTCTTTATATTTATCTTCCTCTTTAAAGAACGACTCCTTAACAATTCACTTTCAAAATGTTCTGACCCTTGGTTATGCAGTTTTCAGCCCCCTTTTCCTGATTCTCAGGGATAGACATCTGATAGAATGTTGTCAGGCGCAATAATTTGGGAAGCCATGTTGCTTTGATCTTTTCAGAAAAGGAGGTTTGAAATGGTTGTTAGTGTTTTCTATGCCTTGTGTGTGTGTATGTGTGTGTGTTTGTATAATTTTTTTAAGAAAAGCTTAAGGAGGTAAAAATAGGTTCTCCCATGGCATTGCTGGTGGCAAGCAGCCTATATCTGACACAAATCTGCTGGGAAGTTAAGGGCCCAGGCCTCTTCTCATTTTATGTCACATCATCACGCCATAGAAGTTTGGATTTCTTTGTAAACTCAGTCATGTTATGTAAATATGTTTTTGTTTTAATCTCAAGTGTGGAATTTTAGTTGGCTCATGGTTGGTCTTCACCTGTTAATTTTCTTGTGTGATGTGCTGCTTTTGCCAGCTTATAAAGGCCTTCTATGTGTGGCACAGAGAGGGGTGTGGTCTAGGACTCTCAGAGTATAAGTGAGAGAAGGTGCAGTGTTCATTGTTGGTGTGGGGCACATAGCACATGGAGAGACTGGAGACAGATGGTGTGGTAGTTTAGAGGCGTCAGATGAAGAGAAATGCTTTGGGGCACAGTGGCGTGGGGAGACTGCTGGTTATGTTTGCTGTTGAGGGAGATTTCTATATATCCCTAAATGACCCATTGGCCTTCAATAGCCAGAAGAAGCAAAGGACTTCTCTCTCCACTAACGTTCTCTCTTCTAGAAGGGTTGGAGGATTGGAAGGGAAGCTGAGGCCTAAACACCCCAAATAAGATAGAGTTGTAAAAAATGAGTGCTACATCATCCTTCGCCTTTCAGTGTGAACTCTAGGCATAGATGGCAGACTTTCTCTTGTTGAAGCCCAGCTTTAACACCACAGGGTAAGCTGAAGTGGGGCATAGCTTCATCAACTCAATACCCAAGGGACTTTTCTCTGAAGGTACAAAGCTTGGTTCTGTAGGCTGGTACTGAATGTAGCTTGTGGGGAATCTCCTGGCCATCAAACAAAAGAAAGAAAGGAGGAAAAGAAACACACACACACACACACACACACACACACACACACACACACAGTGGATGAAGCAAGCTCCAACAAGTTTCAACAATTTCACAATACATAAACATAGATAGATAGAAAGACAGATAGACAGACACATACATACATACATACATACACACATACATACATACATACATTTATAAATGTTTGGTTGATGTAGCAAACTCCAAAAAGTGAGCTCCAATAATTTTATCTTTTCTCCTGCATATTATCTATCCCAGCAAAATCATTCAAGCAGTACAAAAATCTCAATGTGGTTACATTCTATTTTTTCTTAAATGAATGATTATGATGAGTATATGTAGAAAAAAAAACCATGTTCCCCAATAACCTCACATGATTAAATGTTTTATGTAGTAAGGGTGAAAAACAGATGTGAAAAAAGAAATTATTTCTGAGAACCCACATACCTTTGTAATTAAGCAATTTGTTATAGATTAACAGAGTTAAAGCAAGAAAGGTGATTTTCTCAGCCAGTTTCTCTTTACTGGCAGGTTGCAATTTGTGGTTATAAGGAAAGAAATTGTTTTTATCATTTATCTTAGAAGGCAGTTTTACAAAATATTAAATGAATCACAAATCTAAACTTTTATATAAAGTACAATCAGTCTTTTCTACTTTCAATCCTCAATGTGTACATCTACTCATTAACAATTTTTATTATATCATATCAGGAAGCTGAGGGCAAAAATGGGTACAAGAAATTAATCATCGTCTTGATCATCAGCCGAGCTTCGTAAGAAAGCATGTCAGGCAGTGCTAATTTGGGCTATTATTCTTGCTCCCTAATTTCAAAACATCTGTAGCTCAACTATTAAGAATGTACCTTTCTGAACTTCAAATTGTTTCTCAAGATTTTCTATGTCAGGGCTACTAAAAAAAAACATTCTAACCTAAACCTACTAAACACTCTTTTTCCAAATTCTTTCTAAGGATACTGGTAATTGCTAACAATCTACATCTTTAGGTTCTTTCCCAGGGTGGTGTTTGAATCATTACTCTGCTTCAGCAGCAATGCTTGGGAAGATCAAGCAGTGTTATTGTAAGTGCCAATGATTCTGTCCAATGAGTGGCTGGACACCCCCTTAGAGTTTTCACACAACTCATGAAGTATGGGGGATGTGGTGACTGACCTCAAAGGCAACAAGCACAGAAATGCTCCATAACAGCCAAAGTCCTTAGGACACATGGTCCTCAGTGCTCTGTCTGTATGAGGCATACCCAGGGTGGTTGTGCTAAACATTGGGTCACATTCCATGGGTTCTAAGGCTGTTTTCCTGTTCCTCCTCTATGGCCCTTGACATTCTCAACAGAGATTCAGGAAGTGAAGATCAGCAGAGCAATATGTCAGCATATGCACAAACTACTAAAGTAAATCCCTTTCATTCAGGAGCCCCATGCCTAGGAACAGATCCTTCAGATACACGTGTTCCCTGAAGAAATACAATTAAAAAATAGTGTACATCATTACAAACACATTATCTAAACACCAACCGAGGTGTGAATTTGTTAACTACTTGAAAATATTCAATGACTGAGTGTATATCTCAGTGTCAAAATGACTTCCTCTATGGACAAGGCCCAGGCTCCATCTTCGCAAACAAAAGAAAGAGCAAAACAGAAAATGAAACGTATCCTGAAGTATCCACACTTACAACAGAATTTTATGGCATGTAGGGTTCATGAGGTGGCTCAGCAGGAAAACACTTAGCACCAAGCCTCACAACCCGAGCTTGGTCTCAGGGCCCACATGGCAGAAGAAGAAAACTGACCCTTTTAAGATGTCCTCTGACCTCTACTGGACCTGCCATGTGTGTACATGCATGCCCCCTCTCATAAACAGATGTAAGTTAAAACATTCTTAAGTTTTTAATACGGTATTTATGAAGAAATAAGTGAGCTCAAATGAATTGACATGGAATAATACTCCCTACGTTTCCACACTTAGAGCAGCATTTTATGGCATGTAGGTTTGATGAAGTGGCTCAGCAGTGAGACAGTTAGCAGCAAACCTTACAACCTGTGCATTCTCTAGAACCCACATGGCAGGAGAAGAAAAGTGACTTCTTCAGGCTGTTCTCTGACCTCTTCATGTGTGCCATGGTACATGCATGCCCCCTCCTATAATAGATGCAGTTTTAAATTTTTTAAAATTTTGAAACTAGTATTTGTGAAGAAACGAGTGAGCTCAAATATATTGATATGGACTAATATTTAAGGGTGTTTTATTTTTTTCGGATTATTTTTCTTTGTTTTATTATTATTATTTTTTGTTTATTACAGTTTATTCACTTTGTATGCTAGCTGTGGCCCCCTCCCTCATCTCTCATCTTTTTTTGTGGCCTGGCAAGACTGCACCCCCCAGGGTGAGGTGGTCAGAGAGCCTGTCACTGAATTCCTGCCAGAGATAGCCTCTGCTCCCCTTACTAGGGACCACACTTGGATACTGATTCTATGGGCTATATCTGAGCAGAGGTTTTAGGTCCTCTCCATGCATGGTCCTTGGTTGGGGTATCAGTCTCTGCAGAGCCCCAAGGGCCGAGGTTTTTTTGTTTGTTTGTTTGTTTGTTTGTTTGTTTTTGGCTCTGTTGGTCTCCTTTTTGGAGCTCCTGTCCCCTCTAGGTCTTTCTATTTCCCTTTCTTTCATAAAATTCCATGCCTTCTGCCCAAAGTTTGGCTATGAGTCTTTGATACCTCTATCAGTAGAGTCTTTCAGAGGCCATCTGTGGTAGGCTCCTGCCTTTTCCCTATCTTCTCCTGCTTTCAATGTCTATCGTATTTGCCCTTCTGAATAAGGACTGAGCATCTTCCCTAGGGTCTTCCTTGTTATTTAGTTTCTTTAGGAGTATAGATTTTAGTATGTTTGTCCTATATTATATGTCTAATAACCACTTATGAGTGAGTACATACCATGTGTGTCTTTCTGCTTCTGGGTTGCCTCACTCAAGATGATCTTTTCTAGTTCTCACCATTTGCCTGCAAATTTCATGATTTCTTTGTTTTTAATTGCTGAGTAGTATTCCATTGTGTAAATGTACCACAGTTTCTGTATCCATTCCTCCATTGAAGGACATCTAGGTTGTATCCTGATTCTGACTATTATGAAGAGAGTTGCTATGAACATGGTTGAACAAATGTCCTAGTTGTGTACTAAAGCATTTTTGGATATATGCCTAGGAGTGGTATAGCTGGATCTTGAGGAAGCGCTATTCCTGAGAAAGCATCAAATTGATTTCCAAAGTGATTGTACAAGTTTATATTCCCACCAGCAGTGGAGGAGGGTTCCCCTTTCTCCACATCCTCTCCAGCATGTGTTGTCACTTGAGTTTTTAATCTTAATCATTCTGATGGATGTAAAGTGAAATCTCAGGGTCATTTTGATTTGCATTTCCCTGATGACTGAGGACATTGAACATTTCTTTAAGTGTTTCTCTGCCATTCAATATTCCTCTATTGAGAATTCCCTGTTTATCTCTGTACCCCATTTTTAAATTGGATTGCTTGGTTTGTTGCTTTTTAATTTCTTAAGTTTTTTTTTTATATATATAATCTGGATATTAGCTCTCTGTCAGATATCGGGTTGGTGAAGACCCTTTCTCTGTCTGTAGGCTGTCCTTTTGTTCTGATGACAGTGTCCTTTGTTTTATAGAAGCTTTTCAGTTTCATGAGGTCCTATTTATTGATTGTTGATCTTAGAACCTGTGCTGTTGGTGTTCTGGAAAGATCTCTCATGCTTATGGATGAGTAGGTTTAACATTGTACAAATGGCCATCCTACCAAAAGCAACCTACAAGTTCCATGCAATTCCCGTGAAAATACCAGCACAATTTTTATCATCAAAGAAGTTCAAATTTATGAGCTAAAGAATTGAAAGAACAATTCTCAAGTTCATATGGAAAAACAAAAAACACAGAATTGCTAAGATAATCCTGTATAATAACATCTTCTGGAGATATCTTTGTACCTAATCTCAAA